TATATCCTATAAGCAATCTTCTTTCCCAACAGGACCCAACTCAACTCACCATGTTTAGTTTTGTTCTGCTTTTGTTCTTTTCACTAAACAGTAGCACTAAAGAACTGAACACTAGAAAAGAAATATGTGATCCACTTATATAATTTTAAATTCTCTGGTACACACATGAAAATAAGTAAGAAGAATAGGTGAACTTAAATTTAAAATGATATATTTCATTTAACTCAATATATAAAAAATACAATTTCAATGTATAATCAATATGCAAATTTTAATGGGATAACCCACATTCTCTGTTCACACACAACCTTCAGTATCCAGGGTGTGTTTTTTACTTACAACACATCTCAATTCAGACTAGCCACATTTCAAGTGCTCAGTTGCCATGAGTGACCAGTGGCCACCATATGGTACAGTGCAGATGGAGCCAGACTGTCTACACCAGCCCCTTACAGCTCGGCCACTTTGTAACCACCTGATCTTAGGTAAATAACTGTGCCTCAATTTCCTCATCTATCCAAAGGTATTAAGATATAAGAATTCAATGAGAAGGTTCAATTTCTAGAACAGAATAAGGTTTCAATAAATAGTAGCAATTATCTTCATCTTCATTATTTTATTTGCTATTTCATCTCCAATACAACCATTTTTTTTTTCAACTTTGTATTCAATATCTTTAAGAACAGGTATCTCTGTATCAAGAAAGTCTCCCTCCAGGAACTCATTTCCCAGCCACTGCTTCTTAGTTAAAGAAATAATGACCAAGAGCAAGGCCTCTAACTGATTATATGATGCCAATCCTAGCCCAGGCAGACCAAAGGTCACACAAAAGTGAAGTCAGCAAAGTACAGCCCAAGTACTGGCACAGTGAGAAGTGTAACTTATTTACCTAAATCCTTATTTAATGTCAAGCTATTTTTTAAAAAAAAAAACAAGTCTCCTTGTTTATATAAGCAGCTTCTATCTTTAGCCTCAATTCTAGAAAGTATTTCATGAAGGCTGAGTTGGAGAAAAGTACTCACCATGATTTACCCTCCCAAATATTAACAGAATGTCATTTGTGTGTCCTTTAAGCAGGTACTGTGTCCCACCCCAACCACAGCTTCATTTCAACCACAAGGAATAGCAGATACACTACACTACCCAAAATTCCTTTAAAAACAACCATGTAGATGCCAGGAGAATTGAGAACATTAGTGACTGGAGAATTGGCCATGAAGAGGTGAATGTGAAATGGTGAGAAGGGAATCAAACAACTCAGTTCTATTAAGGATCAAATCATTAACAGAGAACAGGGGTTTATAAGCCAGATGGAAGGAGAATTTATAGAGAAGAAAGGTAAAAGTCATGAGTCAGAAATAATCTAAGAAGAAAAATGTTTTCCGACCTGGGTTGTAAGCTATTATTTGTAGAGAAAATGAATTCTTTTCAGGGCTAATAAAGGTGTTGTAAGGGCAGGTTTTTCCAAGAAATATGAGAGATGTTTGCATAAGTAAAATACATGGTTTATGTAACTTACCAAAAAGAGAGAGAAACCTATGGAAGCAGTTTTTCATATCTGGTATGAAACTATTTTTATATTTCCTAAGAAGAAATATTTTCTGATGATAGTTGGGGCCAAGTATTTCTCTGTAGCCTGTTTCCAACCCTAGACAGACCTGCTGTCACTCATCAATAAGACACGTGTGAAATTCTGGTGGAAAAGATGAAGAAATAATGTAAAGAAAGATCCTTGCCAAATCCTATTTTATTCACACTTCAATCAACAACTTGGAGAAGAATATTTTGACTAAATTACAAAATATACACATGACAAGAAGATGAGAAGAAGAACGAGGTGTCAGAGGGCAGAATCAAACTTTAAATATATGGGTAGGCTAGACAGATGACATCAACCTTATCAAAGGATGCTGAGTTGGGTTAGATTTTAAACCAACTGCAGGAAGAGAACATGGGAAATACTTGGCTTACTTTGGATTTTAGATCACTGTAAACTTGAAAACTCAGGCCGTTGACACAGTTAATACTATCTTAAGCTACTTTCATAGGACAGCACACCAAACAAGGAAGATGACGGGAAGTCTATCTCATTTGACCGTAAACAGAACACACTAATAAATTGATCACTGGCACCTTGATCGAGTTTCTAGGCTGAGATAACTGAAAATCATTTGATGTGAGAATTAGCTGAAAAAATTTAGATTTCTTAATTTAAAAAAGAGAAAAATCCATGAACTGCCTGAGAGTTATAATGTAGCTCTGGCAAATAGAATATGATCCCCAAAGGGCAGTTACAGCACAGTAGATTTTGTCTCAACATATAGAAAACCTCTTGAAATCTGAATGGAATAAATTCTCTTGATCTTCCCTGCCACAGGAAATGCTCTAAGTAAAAAAAAAAAAAAGCTACCAGGCCACTTGTCAAGGATCTTTTCATTGTGTGAAATGTTTAACTAATGAACCTTTAAATTTCCTTCTAAGATCCCATTAATATGGTATCTATGTAGCAAAATATAAACAAAGAGAATCATTCTACCTGACACTATAACATAAATGGGAGGTAATAACATATACGGAGTATATGTGTTATTACTAGAGATAAACCTTACCTCTTCAGTGTCTATAGATCAATAATGTCAACACAGTTATGTGCTGGACTATGAGCTAGTGAGGTTGAACGTAAAACAGAATCAGAATGTATTCGAGTTGATGAAATAGGTTTCACTTTTTCCATAATTGGAAAGCATGGGTCAATCAACAGGCCTGTCCAGGGGTGGAAACAAGCTACAGAGGAAAAAAAAAATTCATAGTTTTTAGTTCCTCTGCTTATGTGGATCACACAGGGAATGGAACAGAAAGGGACCCACACTTTTATACACACCCCTGGTATCATTTCCAATCAGCTTATGAACCTCCTGGTATCATTTCCAATCAGTTTATGACCAAATCTTCCCCTTCTGAATTGGGTGATCTTTGCTATGGAGGTGAAGAAACCGTTTATACTTTTGCTCCTCTTGAGAGATAAATTTGTCAGATTGAAAGATCGTTTTTTTGTCCTTGGGTTGAGGCCACAATAAAAATCACAAAGAGTTCTAGATTATCTCTCATCTCTTCTGATTTTAAGATCTATGATTCAAATGGTTCCTTTCTCACAATAGCATAATGAAACTCATTTCTTGGAGATTTAGAGGAAAGAACTCTCACTATGTGATGGTACATTACATTCTATTTGTACATGAGTCTTGAGCTTTTGCTTTGATGAATCAAACTTTGGGAGGCTCTTTGCTCTAGACCTGGGATGCCCACACACTTGTATCTTCTCTTCATACACCTTGCCTCACCTTACCTGTCCACTAAAGGCCAAAGCTGCTGCTGCTCAGCAGTGAAGCAGAGACTCTGACGGTAGAGATGCGGAAAGAGCACATCCTCTAGTTTATGGAGGTAGGAAAATGGATCTGTCCAGTTTTCATGGGAATGGTCGTACGTGGTGTGAGAACCTGGCACTCTCCCAGTCTTAGAGAATACCAACGATTTAACTTAAGGCTACTGTCATTCCCCAAAGAAACAAAACCCAAAGACTAAACAGGAAATTTTAAATATTCTATCAATATTTTAAAACACTATAATTTGTATACCCAATGTCGAATTTAAATAATGTAAAGATTAAACAATTCTAAAATATGCTACAAAAATAACAAAAGCTCCATTTCACTGAATGCTTTTACTGAAAATTCACTCAAGTCCCTTCCCCATCCCAATCCTCAGGAGCAGGACACTGAAAAGACTCAGAAAAGACTTAGATACCAGGGATGAAGAAGCAAATAAGTTAGTGATTACATTCCTACACCTACTTTCTGCTTTAGAGGCAACAGAATTCCCTATAGGATGAATTACACACATTCTATTAAGCTCCAAAATAAGGGACAAGAGGATTACTAACAGGCGTGGAGCCTTAGAAAACCACAGATAGATGGTAGGTAAAATGCAGCCCTTTGATCCAAGCAATGTGCAAGTTAGGTGGGAGTTAATAGCTTCAGCTATTTCAAAAGCTAAAAACCAACCAACCAACCCACAGTAATAAGGACACCATGGTCTAGGCACAAGAATCTGGGGCACATGGACAAAGGGACCTGACAGGTCTGTAACTATCAAGAGTAACTGAGGAGGGGTCTTTAGGCTCTTCTGTGGGACAAAAATATATTTCATCATAATGAAGCAAAGGATCAAAAGAAAGGAAAGAAATGAAATTGTTTTAAATAAGCAAGCCTACTCTAGCAGCAAGTGTCCACAATCTACCTGCTGGCCAGATTGAGAGTATACAAACTCAGGAACTGGCTAATGAAACTAAGCTATTAGCTCTGAAACTAAGCTCAATGTTTTCAGAATTTTCTCCTTAGCAGGTTAGGGGAAAATAGGGATGAATGTGTACCTAAAATAGAATATATTTTTTGTGTCATAGTTAGCTATGGAGGTGTCCATCTCCATTTAGGAAGCTTTCTGAAGGCAGGAAAGGCTTGGAATAGTGACTAAATTATAGCAAGTGCTCAATAAACATTCGCTATGTGAATGCAACGGCACTCTCCCAGTCTTAGAGAATACTCAATTGAGCTGTTCTCGTGTGATAGACTGAACGCACTAACAACTCTCATGGATGGCCTGCACCACCACTTTGCAAGGTGACTTTGCATTCTTCCCTTTAACAGGTATAGCCTATTCCCTCTCCCCTTGAAATGAGCTGGCCTAATACCTCGTTTTGGCCAAGGTGATGTAACAGAACGGTCACTGTGCTACTTCCCAGTTTAGTCCTGGAAGACACATACAACGTGTCTTCCCTTGTAGAAGCCTGCTGTGATTTGAGAATAAGCCTGGGCTATCCTGCAGGAGAATGAGAGGCCACATGAGGAACCCAGCTGCCCAGCTGAGGATGATCCGGGACCAGCCTATGAACAGCCTACACTCAAACATGAGAGAACATAACGAAGATGAGCACAGAAGCCTACCTGACCCACAGCCGCATGAGGGAAACCTGCTGGGGCCAGAACTGTCCAGAAGAACTGTCCACTTGACTTCTAGCCTCATGAGAAATGAGAAGTGGGTGCTGCTTTAAGTCACTATGTTTTTTTTAGAATCTCATTACATAATAATAGCAAACTGACCCACCTCACTGAATGCCGCTTGTCAGTTCTTTATTACTGATCTTATTTTTTAATGTTTATGACCTTCTTTAGCGTCTAATAATTTCATCAAAAGAAAAAGCAAAAAGAATCCTGCTATCTGTCCATGTGTCCTTTTCTTTTTTTCCCCTTACCTGCCACTACTTAATAAAGTCCTCATTTCTTTCTTAGTGTTTCCATTTAAGTCGGGCTGTGGCTAGTTCCCAGGAAGCCATTCTTGTGCTAACCCTATCTTCATAATATGTTAGGATTATCATCATAAAACCCATGAGTGATCATGTCGTTCACATCCTCAAAAAAATTCAAACCTTTCCCATCGTGCACATTTTAACGTGAACTACTCATATGGCCAATCGCCTCTCACATTTTTGCCCTAATACCCCTTTCCATTCTTGTGTCACAATATACTTCCCCTGGCCTTATATCCAGCCACACCGGCCTGCCTCTACCCATGCACCAAACATGTTTTCTCCTCTTTCCCTTTATATTTTTATACAACTCATTTTCTGTGCTTGCAATCTCCCAATTGAAATAGCATTCAAAGCCATGTACTCCAAGGAGCTATATGCTAATCTTCCACTGAATGTAACAAAAAGGAGATAAGAGCAAATTAATAATATTGACTAAGCATGTTCTATAAGAAAACTCTGTTAAGCGTCTATATGCATTATTTTTAAATCATCACGCCAATCTGGTGACAAGACTATTATTAGCACTTTTCACATGTTTTAGACAAGCAAACAAAGACCCAAAAGATTAACCAATACCATGTCAAATATTTACTCAGAGCCAGAGCTTACTTAGGACTACAGGCCAGAATATACTATGCTATGTCATGTTTTCATCTGAACATACCATATCTATTATAATAAATTAAATTGAAATACAAAGTAATTAAGTGACTTGCCCAAAATGACAGCAATAAGACTAGATCATGAATCAATATATTTTGAAACTCCCCAATTCATGCAAGTTTTTGCTACCTAGAAAAATATGATTGCTAACTGGTCTCTCTAGCGAAACTTGAGAGTTTTGACCTTGCCCATTTTCTTCCCAGTAAGAATGCCTAAACTATAAACTAAGCAGGTACTTTCCATTTTCTCCTACTGTGGTAATCATCTGTAACTATTCAGCCAGAGAGCCAAGACTAGAAGAAGAAATTAAGTGTAATGCCAAATTAAAATAATTGGGGCTTAATTTGATTCAAACTGTCAGAAAAAGTCCACTCACTAATCCTGTTAATATACAACTGAACTAAATTTCCATATCCCCAATTGTGCTTAATTCTGTCAGGACCATACATGTTGCTCTAATGCTGTGAACATGTAAATCTCATTTTGTCAAACTTTACGAACAGATCTCTCACAGAAGGAACTGTACTTCCTTTCAATTGCATACAACGTCAATCAAGACAGTCCCCAGTCCTAGTGGCTGCACTTTTACACTTAGAAAAGCAGACCTGTGACTGGCCTATGTGGTTGAGTGTCCAAAAGCTGTGGCAATACAGGCCTGGTGAGTCAGGGATGAGACAGATCTGCCCACAAACATTAGGGCTGGAGGGAAAAAAAAAAATAAAAACACCCTCGTTGAATATAAACCCAGGTGAAGCATGTAAGCTTGGAAACAGCTTTTTTACTAACTCAAAGGGGGAATAAAGGAAAACTGACACAGCTTGTTTTTGCTGCTGTGCCTGCTGTCCATTCCCTTTCTGTGTCAATGCAGGCTTCGCAGCAGGTAGGGGCCGCAGCCAAGAGCAGTAGGGCTGCAGAAGTCTATTCAAGAGTGTTTAGTCCTCCCAGTTTGAGACTCTCCACAATACAGAGCCAACAAATGCAGACTTCAAAGGAGAAAAGAAAATGTGTGCAGGGATCCTCCTCATCCCAGGAGCCTTTGACAGACAGTTCTTACCTGATACTTTATGTTTACCCTCTACCTCCCAAAACTTGTCCAAGAAGTTTGTTTAATTTTTTTTTTTTTAGGCTTTTTGAAACCGGTTTTGGGGTTTCTTGGTTGAATTGCGGGTTCGGGTTTACTTTGGGCCGGCAAAGGTTTCCCTTGACCTTTTTTTGAAAACTTTTTTTAGGTTTTTAGGGGTTCCTTTTTTGGAACCAACTTTGGTTTGATTTCTTGGGTTTTTTGTTTTTTTTTTGTTTTTCCCCCTTTTTTCCTCGGGAAGGTTGAGGTTTTTTTTTTTTCCATTTTGGGGGGGGAAGGAATTGGCAGTTAGGTTGGTTTTTTGTTGTTTCCCTTGTTTTTAAAAAATATTTTTATTTTCTGGGTGTGTACCTTTTTTTGGAGACATCTCTATTTTTTTTTATGTTTTTTTTTCTCAGGGTGTGTTTTCTGTGCCCTTTTTTTTCTCTTCGGTGTCCCTGTGTGTGTGTGTGAGCTTTTTTTCGCTCTCCCCCCAGGGGGGGGAGTGTCCGGGGGATCTCATCTCACACACATATTATCGCCTTTTGCGCGAGACAGATCTTTTGTGGAAAAAAAAAGAGGAAGAAACAAATGTTCATAAGATCTGTAAATATCGAAGGCTTTCTTGTATCTTCTTACCCTAATTTAGGCCTATAAATATAACTACTAACTCCAAAACATGTAACAGATTATCAACAAGTTTGAAGATAGAGTTCAGGCTAGGGAGAGTGTTGGGCCTGAGAAAAAGATACTCCCACATACGGCACTCTGGCATGCTAAGTACTTCAAACTTTAATTTCATCTTACTTTCTGGATGAGCTTCAGAAGCAAAGCCTCTGACTTTCTCCTGTCCTTCTTCCTCTGGATCCCTGTTTTCTTCCAAGGAAGGCCATAGAAACTGAAAAATCCCCCTCGGCATGGGCTCTCTCCCGTCCAGTGAGGAGGTCCACGGAACAGGGCAGAGGAGAGCGTGGCTGCGGATCACTAATCAAGACCTCCAGAGACCAAGCAGGAAGCAGGTCTGATTTTATTGCGCAGTTACCATGTACGTATACTCGGGCAGTAGCTAGGCAGATTATAGGCAGCCACCAATATAATTTCTGGCTAACTGTCCTTGCAGCAACCAATCGAGGAGTGGGCCATGGAGCAAGCAAAACGACTTCAACACATGGCCTCACTCCCAGGGCTGTGCCTACAGGGTAAGCGGTCTGCTACTCACATGCCTTGCATGAGAGGAGTGGCCTGCCACTCAGACTCCCTTGACGTATGCCATGTATACAGTACTCCATGCACTTGTCCCCACACCCCTGCTCCCATGGCAGCTCAGAGAAACTAAAATCTCTCTCCCCAGAGCCAATCATAAAGGAATATTCCTCTCACCTCCCTCTGTCTTTTGTCTAACAGCTGGCCAAAAAACAAATTCTCTTACTTTTTCTGCTAGTAAATCTAAAATCCTCACTCCACATGGGTGATGCCCAACACCCAGGAGGAAGGAATGCTAGAGAGAGGCCAAGAAGAATATGGACAGACAGGCTTTGCTCTCAGTCACGACATTAGATCACACCTTTCAATCCACACACATTTATGCACATTCTCCATCAAATGTAAGTATAAAGACAGACATCTTTCCCTGGGTCTTTGGATCTTCATTCTCAAGTCTACCATGTCACCCAGAATACTGATGAAGTAAACATGCTCTGTTTTCTCTTAGTGACCATCTTTTGTTATATTGTGACTGCCATGAGCGTGGGGAGCCATCACACCTTTCCACCCCGACAGGAACAATCTTCATGGAATGCACATTTGTAAGAATAAAGTTCTCAACTTCTTCACCTCACGGATGAGTCAGTTTCCAATCTATGAATGTATCACATTCCACAAATGAATTCTTAGTCACTTAGAAATCCAAATTTACTTAGAAATCCCATTAATCAAATGTACTAAAGGGTGTTCGATCGCAATCTCAAGCCAGCATATAAACACCAACTGATCTTGAATATATCAGAAAGAATCTTCTGGTAGCCCCAGGCCTTTCAGGGCCATAAACCAATAAAGGCCCCCTTGAACATTAATTTCCTTTGGGACTAGTATCCTGCCATTTCAGAACCAAGAGCAGGGAGAGAAAGAATAAAATATCAGGGTAGTTTCTGTGGCAACTGCTGAGAGGTGCAGGTAGAAGAGGAGGAAAAAATGCACTATTTATTTTAAAGTTAGACAGATACCAGAAGAAAGGAGATGCTTTCCACTTTGTTCCTAAGAAATGATGCTGCATTTAGGAAACAAAACTGGACTCTTATAACATTAGAGAGGCTACTATAATGTTCAGCAGAGTATACTAAGTTTTCAGCATATGACCATTAATATAACAAGCATTTCCCTCATTTCTGCTGATTATAATCATTGTATACTAATTACAGAAAAAATATACTCTAAAACTAGAATAAAAGACCTTGTCTATATACTCAACTTATACCGAGCATTTGCTATAACCATAGAATTTTTGTCTTGTAAAAGAGTTCTGGAGGTCATCTATGCCAGTGCCTTAGTTTTAAAAATTAAGGTCACCAAGAGAAGGAAAGTGATTTCCAATCACTTACGACTCAGAAATCACCTGGTACCCACTGGGGACACTATTTTATGTGTCTCTTCTAGAAACTTTAGTTTCCCTTCTTTTAGGAATCTTTAATTTCCCTCTATTGATGAAAGACTCTGCTCACACCCAGAAAGTCTGTTTATCTGAAGGAAAGAATTAAAAGCTTCAGTTGAAGCATTGCAACTCCCTTTGGACTCTGCTGGAACCATCTTTGCTGCCACCCAGTCCACTTCCCTTTCTTCCAAAGGAGACCATCGCTGCCCCAGAGCACCAGGCCTTTAGCTGTAGTTGTCACAAGCAAGTGGAAGACGAAGCTAGCAACAGAGCAGTAAACCTCCTGAAAACGCTGAACTCACTTAATTTCCTGATCATCTGATTAACAGCTTATCTCCACATTTCAACTCAGCCCCAGCTAAACTTACTCTGG